TATAAATTTCAGAGAAAAAGGCAAGGGAAAATAAATTTTGTGAACTATTAGTAAATATATATGTGTACTTGCTATTGTAAGTCGTCAACTACTTGGTTGTTATTCGGACATATCATTTAGTGTGATGAAAATGGACAAATTATCTGGTACACCTGGGGGGACAATGCGCGTGTACCTTACTCTCTTATAATAGCGTTAGTCCGCCATTATAATTCAGTTTTCTTTTTCTTTTTTTTTTAAACACGGGGTTATATAAATAACCGAATTCATTCAAATTTGGAAAACTTTGTGATAGAGTATTATTGATGGGCGATGGCCAGCGGCGATCGAGGCATTGAGGCGGCAATGGGAGTCGACGATCGAGGCGTTGAGGTGGACATGGCCGGCAGCGATCGAGTCATTGAGACGGCGACGGCTTTCAGCGATCGAGAAAAGGCTCCGATTCCACCAGAGTGGCGAAACGGTGATTGGATCGACGATATGCTAAGTTCAGATCGAGTGATGAGTTATGTCGTTGATGATTCCGGCTTGATGAATGCGGAATGTAGTGGTAGAAAATCCATCGAACAATCTTACTGTGCCAGCAAATCAATGCAAGGTCACAGTTCTGTTGTAGATCAGCTGGAATCAGGTTTGTGTAGGTTTCGGAGTGTACTGTAATCAATCAAGTTTTTTCACAGTTCTTTTTTTGTTAATGTTGTATGAAGTGGATTAGCAGTTATGCTGTGTTGGATATCCAAAATGTTTATACCGAATATCCACTTTGTTTGTGCTGGATATCCAGCTTATGTGTACTGGTTATTCAACTGATTTACATGCGTATCCAAATTTTATTTGCTGGATATCCAACTGATTCGTACTGGATATCGAACATTTTTGAGTTGTTTATATTGAATTGGTGTTTTTTCACAGTTCAGAGTGTACTGTTTTTGAGAGAATAATCAATCTAGTTTTTTCACAATTCTGTTTTTGTTAATGTTGTATAAAGTGGATAAGCAGTTATGCTGTGTTGGATATCCAAAATGTTTGTACTGGATATCCACTTTGTTTGTGCTGGATATCCAACTTATGTGTACTAGTTATCCAATTGATTTACATGCGTATCCAAATTTTATTTGCTGGATATCAAACTGATTTGTACTGAATATCCAACATTTTTGAGTTGTTTATATTGAATTGGTGTATCAAAGATTTTTTTTAAAAATATTTTGTTTTTCTGTTTGTCTCATTTTTTGTAAAAGATAACCATATCAATGAGTTAGGGGATGATGTGATGTTGGATGATGCTTTGCGCATGGAAGTTACATCTGCTCTGAAGGGTAGGTTTTCTAACTTGTTTATACGTGTTTAAATTTTTTTTGATTTGTTTATCCATTATGTTAACACTAATTATCCGACTGCATGGTAATGGTTATCCAACCATCTCTTTTTTTTTCTCAGAATGTGGAGAAGATAATAGCGGCAATGAATTGGGAGTTGATAATGTGATGGTGGAGGAGGATGCCTTGCACAAGGAAATTTCATCTGTGACGAAGAATAATGATTTGGCTGTTTTTACTTTAGTTGGCAAGACTGCAAGAAGCGAGAAAGAAGCTTATGATTTGTATAATGATCATGCCCGATTGATTGGTTTTAGTGTGAGAGTGGGAAAATAGAAGTTTAGAGGTAAGACTGATAAAGTTAGGATGAAGAAATTCTGTTGTAACCGCGAAGGATACAAGAGATCCGGTGGAAATGGTGATGTGTGCCATGAGAGGATTAATTTTCGGTGTGGGTGTCCAGCTTATATCCATTTTACTGCTGACAAAGATGGCTTGTGGACCTGTACAAAGCATCTGGTTGATCAGAATCATGATCTTGTGCCGAATGAAATGATTGGACTTCTTCGATCTCAACGTGAAGTAGATGAAAATGATATGAAGATAATCAGAGACATGACAAGGAGTGACATTCCTTTGGTTGATGCATATAAGTTTGTGGCAAAATTACACGGGGGAAGTCCGAACATGAAGTATACTTTGAGAGATGCCTACAATTATGAGTGTCCTGGTGTTGGATTTGAAGGTGGCGATTGTAATCAGCTCATGAAGATTTTTTGGGACAGGAAGGAAACTGAAGAAGATTTCTTCTTTGATTTTGACTGTGATGAGCAGGGTAGGCTGTGTATTTTCTTCTGGAGGGATGGCAGAATGCGAAAGGATTATGATTTGTTCGGTGCCTTGCTTGTGTTCGATACAACGTATCGAACAAACAGATATGGAATGACCTGTGCTCCGTTTGTGGGTATGGATAATCATAACAAGAATGTCATGTTTGGTTGTGGTTTTGTGTTAAACGAGAAAGAACCCTCTTTTGATTGGTTGTTCAAGCAGTTTTTGAAATCAATGGGAGATAAGCAGCCACAAACCATAATGACAGATCAAGCACCTTCTATTGCTGCAAGTATTCGGACATGTTTTCCAAGTTCTCGGCATCGTCTCTGTGTATGGCACATAGGTGAAAATTCAAGAAAACGAATTGGTCATTTAAGGAACAAGCTAGATTTTGTTAAGAACTTTAATTATCTGATGAAATACACTTTAACAGAAATCGAGTTCGAGGTATTATGGAGGAGGTCAGTTTGTCAATATTTTTATTATTATTTTGATCATTTCCATGATTAAGAGTGTCTCTTATTTTTGTTGTTGTGTGGGTATATGTTAGTGGTCATGCATGATCTTCCTAATGATTACTTATATGTAGGTAAGTTATACAACAATGATGGATAACCAGCAAAATAATGTATGGACAAGCAGCCGCATAGAAGCACAACTAAAAAAAGGCAAGGATAACTAGTTTACAGATTGTGGATAACCACCCATTATGGCCGGATAACTAGTTTACAGATTTTGGATAACCAGCAATTATGGTTGGATAACTAGTTTACACATTCTGGATAACTACCGGTTATGGCTGGATAACTAGTTTACACATTGTGGATTAGCAGGAATTATCTCTGGATAACTACCCGTTATGGCTGGATAACTAGTAGAAAGCCTTTGTTGGCTGGATAACTATATGGATAATCTAATTATTTTTCTTTTTATGCATGTGTTTTATATTGTTGTGCACAGATTATTGGATGAGTATGATTGTCATGATGACAAATGGCTCAATGGTATTTATGATGTGAGGCATATGTGGTGCCCTGCATTTAGCAAAGATGTTTTTTCTGGTGGTACCTTGTCTTCACAGAGGAGCGAGTCAACAAATAATGCAATTTGTTGTAAAATGAAGGCCACATCATCGCTTTGTGATTTCCATGGAATTTTCTCTGATGTTGTACACTGTTGGCGGGTAGCTATGAGGGGTGAAGATCTACGCTATAGCCATGGAAACATCGATTCATATCTTCCTGGTGACCCTTTCCTGGAGAGCATTCGCAGAGTGTACACAGTTGAAGCATTTCGGGAGGTTCAGCAGTTGCACAAAGATGGGATGTTGTGCAGGCAGGAGCAGTTAGAGGTCTCAAATGATGGAAATATTGTGACGTACAATGTTTGGCAGTTTGGGATAGAGCACTTTAAGCATGTGGTTGTACATGACACTAGGTTACAGAGATTATCATGCACATGCAGGTACTACTCTGAGGCGGGCATGCTTTGTTGCCACATTCTTCGAATCTGTCGTGTAACCTCTGTTGATGAGTTTCCTAAAGAGTATATATGTATGAGATGGACAAAAGGTTATGGGGCCAGGTGAAGCATAGCTAATGAGGGAGATGGAAAAGTTGCTGGGCCATTGCTGTGGAAGGCACTAATTATGAGACGATTTTCAGACTTGGTGTATGCAAGTGAATATAACAAAGATGCAAAGAAATGTTGTGACGAGGCGGTTGACAGGCTTAAAGAAGAAATTGGCAGTTTCATTGGTTCAAATAATAATGATAAGTCTGTAGACAATGACGGTGTTATAAAGAATCCGGCTTTAAAGAGGAAGAAGTTTGGTCCCAGGAACGAACGTCCTAAAAGCATTGTTGAGAAGGCATGTAACAAAGTCAGAGGCAGGAAAACAAATGCAAGAATTGCTGCTGACCGAACAAGAGCTTCAGTTGCATCAGACCTGCATTATCAAAGCATGCCATTTCCTTATCCAAAGGGAGCTGTTCAAGATTATTCAGGCTCAGGAAGTTTTGCTGCTGTGAATGCTTCCCATCAAAGCATGCCATCTTTGAACGTAAATTCTGGTGGATTCTCATTTGCTAATCCAAGCGTAGCTACCCAGGATTTTTCATGGGCAGGGGCTTCCACTTCTGTGAATGCTTCTGATCAAAGCATGCCATTCATCAACCGAAATTCCGGTGGGTTCTCATTTCCAATTCCCAAGGGAGCTGGCCAGGAGTTTCAAGGCGCAAGCACTTCCACTGCTGTGAATGCTTCTCATCAAAACATGATATTCATGAATTGGTGGGTTCTCATTTCCTAACCGAAGGGAAGCTGCCAGGGAGGCTGGAGCGCAGCGTTTCTTCAACAAGATGTTTTATTAGTATTTTAACTTGATGTTGAAATGAATAGTATTGATGGTGTAAAGATTTTTATTTAAAAAGTATTATTTATTTCAAATTGCAGTATTATCAAAGCAGCTTGAACTGGTTATCCATTTTTTTGTATTGGTTATCCAAGTGGTTATTTTAAATTGGTTATCCGTTGTGTTCATGCTGATTATCCAACGAGTTTGAACTGGTTATCCATGTTGTTTGTAATGGATATCCACCGTTTTGGTTTGTACGCCTATCGAACTTGTTTGTACTGGATATCCATTTCGTTTGTACTGGATATCCAACTCGCTTGTACCGGATAGATATTACAAAAAAAAGACATGAACACGTTGAACACGCTTTCTTCACAAATAATATCATTAGATAACCAGCATAGATAATCTGGATAATTAGTACAAAGTCCTGGGATAACCAGTAATAAGTTAACAAGGGAAATATATATATATTTTTAAAAAAACAAATCCTAAAAGTGTGTTAATGTCTCCCAGAAGTAACATGCTCTAATGATGAAACTGGTTTCTAGATCCGGCGATGTACTTGAGTGTGTGATTTTCCTGATAGGAATACTATACAACAGCAAATGTCGATTATCGTATCCTTTGACAATGAACTGTCCCGCTGGAGATGATTTGTGGCTTAGAAACACTGGATAAAGCCAATCATGACGGAAATGTAATCCGTGTGTGTTCACATTTGGGAATTCATGGGTCTCAAATATGCAATCCCATATGGAAGTATCTAGATCCCATGCCCACATCTCACAGTGATGATTCTGAGTAATGTGGTACTCATCTATTACACACATAGTCCCCTGGAAGTCCAATATTTTCACTTGGAGATTCATATGAGAAGGATAAGTGGGGTTAAAGAAGATTGGAGATAGAGGGCAGTTTATGGTTTGGAATTGTTGAGCGTGGTACTCAAACATGACCAACAACTCTTGAGGTGTTGCTATTTCAGAGGATAGTTTGTCTACACGCCAGTACACGAATCTATCAAACCAGGTTCCATCAGATACAAGGCGAGGACATACATTGCAAAGTGTTTTCCATTCCCCTCTATGAATACTTGAACAACTTTGAAAAGAAAAAATGCAGCCTTGCATGTTTTTTCCATCGGCAATAAGGGCCATGAAAACGTAAGTTTTTGAGGATGATACGTACCCAAATGCTGTTTCACAATTGCTGAGAGGGACATCATATGGCCATTCAACTGTTGCAAGTTGTGTTGTCTTTGGGTTCAAGAATTTGATTTGAGAGCTGGTTTGCAGACAGACCAAATATTTGGTGATAGGCATGATTTTATGGATGTCGTCGTCACCCATCGACATCTCTTCTTGCAATCGTATGTGGTTCCATGGGTTATCCATTTGCACTTTTATGTTGGTGGCGATTAGTTTGTCTTGCAACATGTGACCTTCTTGGCTTGTTAGAGTGAAAACAAGGATGTTGTTTCACTTGCAGGGTAGCTCATCTCACGTATTTGAAGAACAAATTCTTGTCTTTTCGTCATTTCCTCCCAAGCTTTGCTGACACGACAGAACTCTCCAATCTTTTCCAATGATAGATTAATGAACATATTATCAAGCATATCGTGACGGATAAATTCATGGTAGCTGGGGGACATTTGTTTGGTTGTGGAATTTGAAGAAATTTTTTCGTTTTTCATTTTTTTCTGGTTGTTGGATGTTTTGAATGCTCAAATCAGGCGTTCTGGTGTATGTGCAGATGAGGGAGTTTTATAGAAATGCTCCACGTGGAGATGTCAGGGAGTTCTATAGAAATGCTGTATGTGAAGATGAAGTAGTTTATAGAGAGGTAGTTTGACGGATTAACTACCCATGCAGTCCTATCTTTTTTCACAAATCAGTGTCTTCTCACTCTCTATTCATTAACCATCATTATTATAATTAAGAAACACATTTAATGACAGTTATGTAACTGATCCTCCTTATTCAATCCATTGCATGTAAAAACGTGTGGCTCTGTAACTACCCATTAGATCATGGTGGATGTACTCTGCACAAACATGAGCATTTTTAGTTTTCTTTTTTTTATTTTTACTCCCTCAATCTTTTAAATTCTATTTAATTACAAAACGTGTGGTTTTTCAGTTATACTCAGTAACATGCTCCACACTGTGGATAACCAGTATGGACATAGTGGATAACCAGTGTTCCCACTATGGATAACCAGTTTAAAATAGCTGGATAACCAGTGTTGACACTATGGACAAGCATTTTTCATAAAGAATAAAAACAAAGTAAATTTTATACCCATAAAAAGGGAGAGAGCAGGTGAATGGTTGAAGGAATGGTACATTATAAAAAGAAAACCCTTTTCCTTTCTCTCTATCCCACACACTCAATTATGATTGAATGACGTTTTCGGGCGGAGGGATAATAATAATGATTGCCCGGCCGCTGTTTGGAAAACGTGCGCACTAATGGGGCAGGTTTGCCAGAATTTGGGCGGGATTCTGAAGCGGGTCGCGTTCCTGGGTCGGGTTTGGCCCGCGAGTTAAGTCACACGGCCTGCCCCTCATTCATTTTTTGTTCTCTATCATTTGGCAAACTTCCCCTTATTCATTTTTAAATACTGTTTATACAAGTAATTTGTGTCCCCTCTTAACGCAATAACACACTCACGTTACACACACACGAAAAAAAGATTATCTTAGCTACATTAGCGTGTTCGGTGGGGCGACGCAGCCGGGGCAGGTTGGTGACCTGTGATTTCGGTAGCCGCGGGAGTCGTTTAGTTTATCATGGGGGGCGAAGCCCCCCAATGAATATGCCGTTTGGATTGCAGTATTGAGGTTTTGGATAAGAAGTATAATCTCATGGATAATCAGGTTAAAGACTGTACTTGCATTTTTTTGACTGGATAATCACTATAAAATATTCGGATAATCAGGTGTAACAAGATGGATAACTGGTACAATGATCATGGATAACCATTACAAACGGTTGGATATTGCTGCACATATCCTGGATAACCAGTACAAAAGTCCTCGATAATCAATTCAGAGCATTGGATAATCAGCAAAGAAATATTGGATAAGCAGGATAACATCTTAGGATAAGCAGTTAAATAAAGAAGTAGAAAGACCAAGAAATTGGGACACTCAGTTTTTGTTGTTTGGGAATTTACAGAAATATTTGGACAACCAAAATACATTGTCTTGTTATTTTCTTATGGATATTTTCTTCTGTTATGTTTTTAGATAATCAGGTTAAAAAATGTACTTGCATTTTTTTTGACTGGATAATCACTCTAAAACATTCGGATAATCAGGTGTAACAAGTTGGATAACTAGTAGAAAGATCCTGGATAACCATTAAACAGCTGTTGGATATCAAACACTTTAGGATCAACAGTCAATCAATTATACAAGAGAACATAATGACAGTTCATTTAACACATCCCTGAATTTTTCTGTCATTGTAGTAAGATTTGCTGCTCAAATCAACATGATCTGGAATTTCTTTTTGTTCTTTTTCAGCAGTATTTGTATAGAAATGGTGCATTACTTCGAAGATTTTGTCCTTATTTTTGTTGGATGGGTGCATAATGATTTTTAACATGTATTTCCACCGGTACTCTTTGATGTTTCATGTGTTGAAATCCAAAGTAGTACCGTCCTCGTAGTCACCACCATCATACCGTTCTATGTGGTGCATTGTGTATATTCCACAATCTTCCGCATTCGGCGTTTTGTCCTTGTGTGATGGTAGCGTAACCTCTGTCAAGGTGTACTGAGCAGTGACCAGTTCTATGTGTGGAAACACGCATTGAAGGAACATTTGGAAGAACCGAAACTGTGATGCCATAAAAACTGGTAAATTTTTTATCCCACGGGTAAGGATGGTGACTTTTACCCTGATTTAACTATTTCTTCTTGTCTCTGCAAGAGAGCGAAGTCTATCAACAGGGCTTCTTCTTGGGTCATTTTCTTCTTCTCCTCTGTCCACTGTATGAATTTTTTCTTGTTTTTCTTCTGCAGCATGAACGGCGACCTGAACCGTTCGGGCAACCTGTGGACTCTTGGTGGATTTCTCCTCTTAGGTTTTTCATTGAGGATCCTAGGACAAAACAAAAGAGAGTTAGTATGTAAATTCGTCTTTCTATTTTGTAGTGAGGAGTCACAGTGGATCAAACTTACTTTTCCACTGTCTTTGTTAACCCTTCATCAAGTACATCAGCTTTCTTTGAGATTGCAGGTGGTGGCGTGGTACACTCATTTTTTTCCAGTATGAGTAGACCGCCCGTGGTAGAAGCAATATTCCAATCGGGTGGAATTATGCTTAAAGAGACTGCTTCAACCACCTTTGGGTTTTTCTCAACTTGTTCTGCAACAGCCGCAATCATCTCTAGTTTTTTGGTATCACTTAATGATTCTGAAGCTGGTGCACTGGCCCTTATTATGATTTCATCGATAGAAGGAGTGGGATTCTTTGTTTCGTCGAGTGCAGATGGTACTGGATATTCTTCTGCTTCTATAGTCTCATTTACATCTTTATCCAAATCAACACTTCCTGTGATATCTTCTTGAGTGTTCTTCTCCTGGGTTGTCTCGTAACCGTCTTCCTGACTAGAGAAGATACCCAGGTTAAAGTGTGGGATAGTTGGGTCTTTGAATACTTTCCTTTTCCTGGTACCAGTGCTTCTCGACCTTTTGGTATAGGTGGATGTCACACCTGAATCCCGGTCGGTGGAATCTTGATGGGATCTCTTCTTTTCTGTTGTGATATATTCGTTGCATGTTCTGCAGTACAAAGTTGGAATGTTGGATAATCAGTACGAAGATACATATATATTAGACACATTGGATAACCAGTTCAAACGAAGTGGATAATCAGTTCAAATAGGATGGATAATCGGCTGGAACACAATGGATAACCATTTAAAGGGAAAAAAGGGGTTGGATAAGCAGTACAAATTAGACAGATTGGATAACCAGCTTAAATGAAGTGGATAATCAGTTCAAATAGGCTGGATAATCAACAGGAACCCAATGGATAACCATTTAAAGGAAAAAAAGGGGTTGGATAAGCAGTACAAATTAGTTGGATGACAAGTACAATCACATCAGAAAAGTATCTGTTTCATTAAAAAAATATTCATTACCTTGTGGTTGAGTTTGTTGTTCATCAACCACCACTTCTTTTCAAGTAGGCACGGATTTCCCCACTGGAAGAGAATTCTCATCATTTGTCTGGCTCAATTGATCCAGTCCCTGTGCCCCTTGTGGTTGAGTTTGTTGTTCATCAACCACCACTTCTTTTGAAGTAGGCACAGATTTCCCCACTGCAAGAGAAGCCTCATCATTTGTCTGGCTCAATTGCTCCAGTCCCTGTGCTTTGTCAATTTCAATGTCTTGAAAATTTGTGGGATTAATTGGAGCTTGTACAGTGTTGTCATCAGTTTGTTGATGTTGTTGTTGTTGTTGTTGGTCAGCTACTTGTCGTTGCAGCTGTTCTATGATTGTTGCAAATCTGCTTTCAGCGGACTTCCATGCCATCTCGCACAATTCACAAATCTGTGCATCCTGGAGGTCTTGCTGCTGTTCTTGTTCTTGTTGCGTTTTACCTGAAGGCGGAGGCATCTTTTTACTCATCGACACCATTGCATCTGTTAGGATCTTGATTGTTTGCTTTGCTTCTTCATCTGGTTCTATTTTTAACTCCATTTCCTTCTCACGAATGTCTAAAATAGTTTTGCTCATCGTGATAATCAATTGGTAGAAGTTTTCATAAAAAGCAGCAAGGTCCTGCAAAAGTGAATGTAGTTAGTGGAATGTGGAGATGCTAGGTTGGATACGTAAGTTTGATCTGAAAAAAATGGTGAAACAGTACATAGACTTGCTGTGTGTTGGGGTTTCCCTGTGTATCCTCCTGTGATTCAGCCTCTGGTTGTTCATCTCGGGATGCTGCTGAGGACAGTTTCTTGAGACGTTCAAGTGTCTGGACATCTGTGAAATTGCTTCCCTGAAGTCTTATTCTGTCGTCTAGCATCTTTTGATCCCAAGATTTGATCACAGGGAATACCTCGGATGTGCTCTCTCATACTCACACCTGTCAAGGTAGCACAACTAACAAAAAAAAAAGTTGGTGTTAATGATATCAGTACAAGCAGTACAAATTAGACAGATTGGATAACCAGTTCAAATGAAGTGGATAATGAGTTCAAATAGGCTGGATAATCGGCAGGAACACAGTGGATAACCATTTAAAGGGAGAAAAGGGGTTGGATAAGCAGTACAAATTAGTTGGATGACAAGTACAATCACATCCGACAAGTACAAGCAAATTGGATAAACATTGCAAGCAATATGGATAACTAGTAAAATTTGTACGGATATGGTAAGTACCAGGAAAAAAGTGATTGGTTCAGTGAATGGTTTCCCATCGTGGTGACTTTTGCATCCTTTCACCAGTGCATCAATCACATATTGACACCAATTGTATTGTGTCACTTCATTGATCTTCACGAGGGACTTCAGGATGTTTATTGTGATCCTGGAAGTGGTGTTTCCATGTAGGAATGTGCTCACAACGAAGACAAGGAAATCTCGTTTGAAGTCATCACCAAAATCTTTTTGACCAGCAATTAATTGTGCCGCCGTGGATCTCGTTGGCAGGAATTTATTACTGTATCCCATTCTTTTCTTGAATGCATCCACCATCTCAGCGTGGTCCGTTATAGCGGGATCATTCTATTTGAATTCTTCCACTGGTTTGGGTCCACGAGGAAGATCAAGTACATCAACAACATCTTCCTGTTTGATATCCAGTACATTGTTCCCATTCAATGGAACTTGTCTTGCACCGGTCTGGAAATTGTTTGCCAGAAAATTACATAAGGCTGTTGGAGTATTTTTGATTTTGAGATCCAGGAAGGCGCCAAATCCCATATCTCTGATAGCCTGCCTTTGTAGTTGGCGATAATCTACCGCATCTGGCTCTTCCTTAAGATCTGTTGGTTTATTGATTTCAGTGATGAGTTGGAAGAGATGGTTCAGTGTCATCCTTGTCTCAAATTTCTTGACAGAATCTTCAGAACTGATTGGCTGTGGATCTTGACCAATCATCAGTTTCTTGTTCTCAGGTTTCGTTCTTTTCTTTTTGGGCTTTTTATCATCGTTGTCATCAGCAACCACAAGTTGCTTTGGATTTCCTGTCGGTGTGCTCTTCTTCCTCTTTGATTTCCTCCACAAGTTGTGGGGCCTTGGAGTTTGTACAGGAGACTGTTCTTCTTGGGTTGATTTTTGTTTTTTAAATATGGTCAGTGTTCCTTCAGGGAGCTCTATTATTTTCTCTGGTTCAGGATCTGGTGATCTGTCTGGGTTGCAGTTGAGGTCGTGGCTTGCGCTGATCCACTCATGCCTATATTTTGTTCTAGCCTCCTTTAGGGCACTGTTGGCATTGCACAATCAGTAAGAAGTCAGTGGACAAAATAGCAGGATATGAAAAGGAGTAATAATCAAAAAAAGAGTAACCAGTATGAAATGGGTGGATAACCAGCTAATATTTTATGGACATGTAGCCAGATAAAAGCACATCTAAAAAAAATAATGGATAACCAGTTTACTTATTGCGGATAACCAAGTTAAAATGGGTGGATAACTAGAAACAAAGTTTGGACAAGCACCCCATAGCACACACGCAGGAAAACTTGGATAACCAGTTCAGATATATAGTGGATAACCAGTTCAGTTTGTCCATGCCACATAGAATCAAATGTAAAAAAAGCATGGATAACCAGTTTACAACTTGTGGATAACCAGTATGAAATGGGTGGATAACCAGCAAATAATGTATGGATGTAGCCACATAAAAGCACATCTAAAAAAAAACAATGGATAACCAGTTTACACCATGCGGATAACAATTATTAAATGAATGGATAACCAAAAACAAAGTTTGGACAAGCACCCCTAAACCCTAAACCCTAAACCAGTAACAAAAAAAACACAAAAACATGGATAACCAGTCAGTTTGTCCATGCCACATAGAATAAAATGTAAAAAAAGCATGGATAACCACTTTACAACTTCTGGATAACCACTTTACAACTTGTGGATAATCAGAATGAAATAGGTGGATAACAAATATCAGTATGAAATAGATGGATAACCAGAGATTATGGCATGGACAACGATCACATAGCATACGGAGGAAACCATAGATAAATAGTTCAGATCTAGTGGATACACACAAGATATTGCTGGATAATCAAAAAAATAGGATTCCGGAGTAATATACTTACCAGTGAAGCATGTATAGATGAAGGAGAGCTTGAGATGGCCGGAGCTAGGGTTTCTCGCCGTCATCTGTGTGTGTGTGTGGGTCTCTGAAAGAACAAACTGACAAAAGGAAAAAACGCAGGAGAAGATGAAGTTATCAAAATCGTCTTCCAACGTAGGTTTTTCGTCGATTTTGTGCAATTTTGTGGTGGTGGTCAATTTTGTATTTGCCCTAAAATGGAGAGTTTCCGTCGACTGTATGTTTGTGTGTGTTTATGCGTGAGGATGAAATGGATGAAAATAATTTTCTGTGTACATTTAATGTAAAGGTAAAAGCAGTTGAGCGCGTGGTGCGCGTGTGTTTGGGGGAGGGGGTATATGGTACACCCGGGTGCACTGGATACGGACTCATGAAAATGTATCTTGAATTTCAAATCTTTTCGGTAAAAAAGACAAATCTAATTAAACAAAGCTCGCCTTAAACTTTTTAGTTTAATATATATGATTATTATGTAATATAAAAAATTCAAAATATATAATAATACCTGACAAATTAAAGGGGAAAAAAATGTCAAATTTAACTTCCTCAAATTTTGGATTACTAGAATTATAATAATAGACATAATTTGAAGAAGGAAGGGCTAAAAAAATCTGGACATGAAGTGTTTGAGCAGAATGGCAAGAGCTGTTGAATATATTTTTTTAAATCTTCGTAAAAGGGGGAAATTGAATTCTTGATAATTGGTTTCTCATAAATTGATGAAAAACGTTGGGTCTAGCTACTTACTATCCGTTACCCGAGAAATGCTCAGAATTTTCCATATTGGGCTGCGTCAAAACAATAAGTAGTTTATACTTTATATCAAAGCCAAAATTTGGTTGACTTACGTTTCTTATTTCGATACTGGGCATTGATCAAATAATACAACATGTGGTGTCAGTGATTGTACAGCTTCCTTCAACACCCAAAATTATTAAAAATTTATCTTTGAACAAATTTAGAAAAGAATTTTATACATTAATAGAGAAGAGATTTGGGACAAATTAAATGACCATGTTAACCGATTTTTAAAATTTGGAAAACCCAACTCAATTAGATATAGTAAATTTTAGTGTGTAATTTTTTAAATTACCTTTTACACTTCAATCCGATTTATCCTAAACGTAATATTGTTAGAATTTATTATCTGATTGATTTTATTTTAAAAATTAAGATTTTAACCCTTTTCAAACGTTGTTGTATTATGTGATCTGTAAGAACTTATTTAAACTATTCTCAAATAGTTTCCCAATCTTTAAGGTTTGATTTTGATCTACAAAATTTGTTTTTCGAGGATATCATAAGAATTATGCTGCCAAATGTTTAGTTTTCTTTTACCTCTTTTTGCTCCATATAAGATTTATAATTTTAAACTTTAAATGAATACATCCAATGGAAAAATTCCTAACCAACATTTTGATGTAAAAGGAAATTGTGATTCTTATTTTAGCTGTTCGATACAAGAATTGTTTTCTCGAAACTATATTTTAGAGTAGAATTCTAAAAGTATTAAATTTTTTTTTCACTCTAAATAAGGTTAAGTTCATTTTCTATAGCCGATTAAATTAGTTAGGCGATTAAACTTAAAAAGAAGCTATAATCATTACATCAAATATACTAAATGTATTATCCAATTAATTGAAAAGTTACAAACCAAGATAGGAAACCTTATTAAGTTACTTGGATTAAACTATCACTTAAGTTATTGTCATAGCAAAACTCACTGATATTGCTTTGACTTTTTAATAAGATCCTGACAGATTTAAGTCGTTTCTCTACTTCTGGAATACGAAGACATCTATTTGGAGGAATTGTAATAATATTCGAATATGATTTCAGACAGAACTTACCGATTATTTCTAAGGCATCGAGTCAATAGATTGTGGGTATTTCAATCAATTCTTCACCAATCTGCCAGTTTTGTGAAATATTGATATTGACAGAAAATATGAAACTTCTGCAGTAGGGAGATCTTGAGTTATTGAGATTTATGAGTTTTCTGAATGGTTGTTCAAGGTTGATGATGAAGGAGAACGAAACGATGGCATAAGATATATTAATATCCCTGAAAATACCACTTGGGTTGATGATAGTAATAAGTCCATATAATTTATAATTTTTTTATAATGTAAGTTAGTGATTCTATTATAAGAATCATTACACTAATTTAACAAAAATTAAAACTGGTTAAGATTAAACCATCTTACGACAGAGTTTTTTTTTAAAAATCACCATACATTACAATTGTTTTCGTTTTACAAATTTTAATAATCAACATGTTATACGAAATTCATTAATTGCCATCTAAATGAGATGTTTAATTAATAATTAACCCCACACAATTCTCTAAGGTGTTTTTCTATCATTTTTTGAATGTTTACCTCCGGCTTGATCGATCCAGATATATGCCTGAGCACGTAACTTCCAATTTTTTTTATGATGTGATATGTGTAAAGTTAATAGCTACAAAGTAGTGTTAGAATGGGATAAGGAGTATATTAATAAAATATTTTTTTAAAGAAAAATAAACGATTAATAAGATTATCAATACAATTTTTTTAAAAAATATAATTTACCGATAAGATTACCTACAAGTTGTTGAGATAAGATTTATGTCATTGATTTACGGATAAGATTACCTCTTTAAATTGTAATGTAAATAGGTAAAATAAATAAATTACTCAATAAAATTTACAACACATAATTGAGCTTAGTTTTTCAATTTTTTA